AACAGAAATTATATTTTGTAATTTAAATATAACAAATAAAACAAATTTATAAAAACTGGAAAATAAAAATATGATTAATAAAAAACAAATTAATGAGAAGAAATGATTAATATTACTTTTTTCTACGAGGTATTCATTACGATTCTATACAAAATTTAAGATATAAATATTTGATATTTAAGAGTGCATTTATTACACAACTTTTGTCATCAATTTAAAAATAGTACCTAAAACAATAATCGTACAAAATCTTGAACAATTTCAAGGTACATATTTTTAAAGACCATCAGTTAAACCATTATTTCTGTGGTAAATTTCCGTCAGTCATCTACTGGTGGTCCATAAAAAATTAATTCAGGTATTTGCCCTCCTTGTACACCAGTACCATTCGTACTTTCTGAACTACATTGAAATTGAAAGTTTACATTACCAACCGTTATCTCTGACATGCCTTCTTGACCAAAATAACTTAATTCTCCTCCGTCTAATATTACACTAGCTGTATAAAAGCACTCTGGTTCGATTTGAATTGGGTTTTCAAAATAAACATGAAATGTACTACTCGAACCATCTGAGAAAAATTTAGTACTATTTTCAGATAAAACACACCCCAATCTTTTAAGTTCAATTCTAACATTATAATCTGCAGCACCGGACGAACTTCCATAAAGTCCAAAACCAACAACAAAAATCCTTTTATCAACGCTAAACTGAATTGAATCACATCTGCCTCTGTAGCGCCATTGATTTGATCTATACGCACATGATTGAAACCTATGACATACCTGTAAACAAAACATTAGGAATTTTAGTATATATATCTTTTTATATATAAATTTTTTAATTTATATTATTGTAAGTAGCTATTTAGTATCATAATTAAATAAGTTCTCTTTTGTTTTATAACATTTACCTGAGTTTTTAAACCTTGTCGAGGTTTAATAAGAAAGCAAAGTTGTGGCTTATTACTAGCAGTGAAATGCAGAAAAACATCAATTGTTTCTTGCTGTGTTAAGATTCCAGTCTGAGCTGCACTATTGGCAAATTCTTCCAAATTCATAGCAGGAAGTCTAATTAAATATAAAGCAGATCCTAGAATAAAAAAAGTACTAGTGATATTAGGCTTACGTTTGAAATTCGAATGCTAGTATTTACCCAATAATCGTCTTTGATTTGCTGCTGAAGGTTCCAACTCTTGTCGAATGCATTCTGCAGTAGCCCATCTCAAAGCAGCATCCCATATATATATTTCTTTACAGTTCAATGTTTCTCGAGAAAGCACAGATTTAAGTGTGTGAATATCAATATCCACAAAGCCATCTGATCTTAGCGCCATTTCTGCCTGTATTACATTAAATTTTGCATTACAAAAGATTAACGAGTTTA